ATGGCGACCCGCCGCATCGACGCACTCTACTGCACCCGGGAGACGGCCGAGGCCGTCGTGAGGGCCACGCAGCAGGAGACGCTGCGGCGGGCGGCGGAGGTGAAGGAGGAGGTGGCCAGCGTGATCGCGGCGCGGATCCAGGCGCTGCAGCAGCGGCAGGAGGAGCTCCGCGGGTTGGTGGACCAGCTGTCCTCGGCGAAGACCCAGGCGCTGGAGGAGCAGCTGGCGGAGATCCAGTCCGGCGTCGCGGCGCCCGCCACCCCCGAGGGCCACGACGCCCCCGTGGATCCCAACCTGTTCTTCCTCAAGGCGGACGCCGTGTTCAACTTCAAGATCGGCGAGGGCGACTTTTTGGAGAGCATCGCCAGGCTCGGCGTCGTCGGGGATTCGTCCACCTATGCGTCCAGGAGCTACGCCAAGGGCCCCGCGCTGAGCGTCCTCAAGGCGGGCAACCAGTCCTACCTGTGGGTGTACACGTGCGACAAGGACGGCCGCCGCCGCGCAGAGGGGGGGGACAGCGTGGTGGTGTCGCTGTCCCACCCGGAGGAGTTCGCCGAGCTGCAGGTGGAGGACGCGAAGGACGGCAGGTACAAGGTGTCCTCCTCCTCCTCCTCCTCCTCCTCCTCCTCCTCCTCCTCTTCCTCCTCCTCCTCCTCCTCCTCCTCCTCCTCCTCCTCCTCCTCCTCCTACAAGGTGGTGCTGGTCCCCTGCACGCCCGGCCAGTACACCATGCGCATCGCGGTGGGGGCTCCCGGCGCGGAGGAGGAGATCGCGGGCGGCGCCTTCCCGCTCGAGGTGTGCCCGCCGACGGACTACCTGACCCTCGGGCGGGAGCCGTACGGCCGTGGGAAGCTCTGCAGCGCCAGCGGGTCCTCGCAGCCGGGGTCCGTGAGGCACCCGAGCGGCCTGTGCTTCGATCAGAGCGGCAAGTTCGCCCTGATCGTCGACCAGAGCAACAACCGCATCCAGGTCTTCAGTACCCAGGACATGCAGCTGGTCTGCTGCTACGGCAAGAAGGGGCTGACCAGTGGCTGCTTCGACTCCCCTTGCGACATCTGCGCGGACACGGAGAACCGGGTGGTGGTATCGGACTTGCTCAATCACCGCGTCCAGGTTCTGGAGTTCAACCCGAGGACGTTCACGCTTACGCACGTCCTGACCATCGGTCAGAAAGGCACAGGCCCAGGCCAGTTCCAATTCCCGAAGGGTCTCAGCATCACGGAGCACGGACACCTCGTGGTATGTGATTCGGGCAACCATCGGATCCAGGTGTTCAGTGTCGCCGATGGCTTCTCCCTGGTGCGTGTGATCGGGTGCCAGGGTACTGGCGAGGGTCTCTTTAACTCACCGCTGGCGGTGGCCTCCAACTGCGCTGGCGAGCTGCTGGTGTCTGACGCTAGCAACAGGATCCAAGTATTCGACACCAACGGAGCGTTCTTGCGCTGCTTCGGTTCGAAGGGCCGGAAGGACTGCATGTTCAACTACCCGACCAGCATGTACGTGAACGACGAGAACGTGCTCTTCGTCTGCGACCAGGCCAACCACCGCGTGCAGGTGCTCAGTGCGGCCGACGGCAGCTTCATACACAAGTGGGGCGGCGCAAAGAAGAAGCCGGCCGCGGGCGAGGAAGAGGCCGCGGCGGAGGCGGCAGAGGGCGAAGAGGGCGGCGAGCCCAAGGTCGAGTGGATCGGCCTGAAGAGCCCCGCGGGGGTCGCCATGAGCCCGAGCGGCCTGGTCCTGGTCTCGGACTCCCAGGACAATGACATCTACATGTTCTGATGCTGGGCGCCCGGCCGAGGCGCCGGCCGCTCGGTTCCGAGAGGGGGGAACGCTCGGGGGGTGCGAAGGGTGCCCCGTGGCCCAAGGTGCCCCCAGCTTTTCGCTGAATTCTGGAACCGCTGGGGCCCGGGCCCATCTGGGCCTCGTCAGGGGTACTCTGGAGGCCGTGGGGGCCTCCCAGGACATCCTGGGGGCACCTTGGGCCAGGGGCGCTTCTAGCAACACCCCAAACGAGGACCAGGGGACGAGGATCGGATCGGCTCGGCGGGAGGGCCCGTCAGGCCCCTCGGCGCCGCCTCTGGGGCCCATGCGGGCCGCAAGTTTGGAGCGCTGCGCTCAAACGTCAGTCTTGGCAGTGTTCATATCTGCTGCCCCGCCTGGCGGCGAAACACCACCGCGGCCCCAACCATCCACCCTCCAGGCAGCGACGCGGGAGGATGCAGCAGTCAGGGTTCCGTGTGCGGCGGCATGGGGTGGACCTGAACGGTGTTTTGGCGATCTCGTGGGCCATTCGCGTTTCGACGTCGCTTTGCGGCAGGGGCGGGCGGAAGACGAAGCACGGGACAGCGAGCGCGGCACGACAGCGAACGACACTGCCCAGGTCGAGCCCTGCGAGGTGGACTCCGTGCCAGGCTGGACACGCGGCGCCGCGGGCCGGGACCCCCCCCGGAAGAGCCACCGACCAGCCCCGCGCACCGCCCGGGCCCCGCCCTGGCGGGGCTTCGCGGGTGCCCTCGGCGCGCGCGTGCGCTCACGACCGGCAGCACCTGGGCCGCCAGCCTCCGCCGCCGCTGCCACCGAGACCGCCACTCCTCTCAGGAAGGGGAAGACAGACAGACACAGGCCACCAGCGACTCCCAGGGAGGTATGGGAACACATGGGAAGCGGGGGGGGAAGACGAACACCCAGAACATGCGGGGAAAGATGGGGAATCCTGGGATTCGTGCCTATTTCGCTGTGGGTCCCCGGACCCTTGTCGTCCGGGAGCCCCGTCTTCCCTCGCTGCCAGGCCCCCTGTCAAGCCCCGCCACGCCCCTCCTCGCGAGGCGCACGCTGCCAAGCCCTTCCTCTCCTCCTGCCCCGTCGGGGAGCCCGCACGGAGTGCCTGCCCCGAGCGCTCCCCGGGCCCCGACGCGTCGCCGACGACCCGCTCGCTCGCCGCGGCGGGGAGGCGTTCCTCCTCGGCCACGGCGAGCTGCCTCACCCCCTCCAGCACACCTTCGCTGATCATCTGCTCACCTTCCGTGGTGCGCTCCTCCACGAGGGGATCCGCCCCCCCCCAGCTCCGCCGCCTCTTCCTCCTCCTCCTCCTCCTCCTCCTCCTCCTCCTCCTCCTCCTCCTCAGGCTGACTGCCGCCTTGAACGCCTCGTCGTCGGAGCCAGCGGCCTCCCCGGCCAGCCACTCGTGACGTCGACCACCAGAAGTCTCGGCCCCTTCCCCGGGACCGGGTTCTCATCCGGAGTCGTTCTCTGACGGTTCCTATAGGCCCGGTGCGGATCCCCAGAGGCCGAACATAGCGAAACGCCTTCCGCCGTTTTCTTGCCGTTTCATTGCGCGAGGCGGCCTGGGGGCCGCTGCAGCCCGCAGGCCGCTGCGGTCCGCAGGGCCTCCTTCGTCCTCTCGGGTCGGCTCCTCGGCCCACGTGCTCCGCGTGGCAGCCGGCCAGCAACAGGGAGATTTTGGACGAAAGGAATATGGTTTTGGGACAACATTTGTTGTTGGGCATTGTACCCATTGTTTCAATACCCATTTCGGGCGTCCACATGAAAGAATCGTGACGTCGGGGGTCTGGGCTCGAGGCCTCCACGCCCCCCGGCGTGCCCCAATTCTGCTCGCCGCCGTGCGACCCTCCCCGTCCTGCACGAGCACGCCGCGTGGTAGGCGTCGCGCGCCACGTGCAGGCGAGCGGCCGCTTCCCGCCGCCCGCGCCTCTCGCGCCCTCCGCCGCCGAGAGGCGGCGGGCTCGCGCAGGCGCCCGCTCCTCCATGAGGAGCGGGCGCCTGCGCGTCCCAGAGGGCCCCAGATTCTTCCAGGGTCGTCCAGGTTAGGGGGCCACACGCGAATCCTACCCCTACCGTCCACGATTTCTGAGGGGGAGGGTGGGGTTCACTGCGTCTGGGAGCTCCCGAGCGAAGTGAACCCCACCCTCCCCCTCAGAAATCGTGGATGGTAGGGGTAGGGTTCGCGTGTGGCCCCCGACAGGTTCCTCCGACCTCTCCCAGAGGCCACCAGGTGCTCGCAGGTTGCTGCGGGTCGTCCGACGAGCGCCCACGCGTCCAGCGCCGGCAAGAGCCGCACGACTCCCGCTCCTGCAGCTGCGGCCGCGCCCGGCGAGGGGGGGCAGGGGGCCGAGGCTCGGCGCCGCCGCCGGCACTTTGCTTCCGCAGGGCGGCCGGGCAGCCTGTGCCGCACCCGGGGCGCCCCGCAGCCTCCGCTGCTCCGGAGCTGCGCATCGCACCGGGGAGGAAGTAGGGAAACGAACTCTATACACCGACGCTCTGTCCCCCGACCCTGCGCTGAAATTCGCACGGGAATTCGGATCCTGGTGTATAATTACGGGATCCTGGTGTATACATGTTTCGTTGCTTCCCTTGGAAAACAGAGGGAAAATATACACCACACCACCCCGACGTTGTCCCTGACCCTTAAAAAGTCGTGGGATTGAAAAACAACCCGCCGCTGGTAATGTATATGTTCCAGTCTGCAGGAGCAGCCGATCGACGGTTATGAGCCTGGAAGCACGGAACTCGGGGATACTCCAGCAGCCAACTCCAGCGCCTCAGATTAGCGCCTCAGATTAGCAGGAGGTTCAACATGCTGTGGGTCGACACGTGGCTGCGGAGACCGAAGAATTATGTCGCCTCGCACTTGACGGTCGCATCTGTGTGGTCCGTGGTGACGGGGGGAGGAGAGGGGAGGGAGAGATGGGGCAGGGACGGGAGATGAGGAAGACGAGGGAGGGAGTGGGGATGAGGGCGGAGGGAAGGATGGATTGGGGGAGGGAGGAGGAGGAGGAGGAGGAGGAGGAGGAGGAGGAGGAGGAGGAGGAGGAGGAGGAACAGAATAAGGAAAGGGAATCTGATGATGACGATGATGATGATGCTGATTATGCTAATGATGATGATGATGATGATGATGATGATGATGATGATGATGATGATGATGATGATGATGATGATGATGATGATGATGATGATGATGCTGATGATGATGATGATGATGATGATGATGATGATGATGATGGCGATGACGATGATGATGCTGCTGCTGCTGATATGATGATGGTGGTGGTGATGATGATGATGATGAAGATGGTGGTGGTGGTGGTGATGATGATGAGGAGGAGGAGGAGGAGGAGAAGACGAGGCGGAGGAGGAGGATCAGGAGGAGGACACCCAATAATCATCAATGATGTTGGAATCAGACCTCCCTCCAAGCTCCCTGTTAATAGGCCCCTACAAGGGTTCATGTCCACTGAGGGAACTGCCTCGTTGGAAGGCACCCGTTTGAAGACCCTGAAGCTTGCTGGGACTTCAACACCACGAAGCAATGTACATAACTGTTGTACCTTCATAATCCTGAATGCTTCCAAGACGCGATTTCTGGTACGTTGATCATGGGAATCCGTGAAATTCTTGCACATCTTAAACACGAATGTGCGCGGTGCTAAGGCGAGAGCCATATTTTGAAAAGGAGCCGCCCTCAATCCGTGAAGCTCTTGCAACTGTTAAACATCGAATGCGCGCGGCGCTCAGGCGAGAGCCACATTTTGACCACCATCCGCCCTCAATCTGTTAATCTCTTGAACATGTTTAAAAACGATTGTGCGCGGCGCTCAGGCGAGAGCCACATTTTGAAAACCACCCGCCCTCAACCCGTGAAGCTCTTGCAAGTGTTAAGCAAAGATTGTTCGCGGCGCTACGGCGAGAGCCACATTTTGAAAACCACCCGCCCTCCATCTGTGAAGCTGTTGCCAATGTTCAAGCTTCAGGGTTGTAAATGATGAGGAAGTCTCAGGCCAGTGTCCGGCCCGCCATAAAAAAAGTGGTCTCGGGGTGCGACAGGGAGAAGACACTCATAAGGAAAAGGAACGGAGGAGGAGGAGGAGGAGGAGGAGGAGGAGGAGGAGGGAGAGGAGGAGGAGGAGCAGGAGGAGGAGGAGGAGAAGGAGGAGGAGGAGGAGGAGGAGGAGGACGAGGAGGACAGGAGGAGGAGGAGGAGGAGGAGGAGGAGGAGAAGGAGGAGTAGGAGGAGGAGGGGAGGAGGAGGGAGGAGGAGGAGGAGGGAACAGGAGGAACAGGAGGAGGAGGAGGAGGAGGAGGAGGAGGAGGAGGAGGAGGAGGAAGAGGAGGAGGAGGAGGAGGAGAGGAGGAGGAGGGCGAGCAGGATGAGGAGGAGGAGGAGGAGCAGGAGGAGGATGAGGCGGAGGAGGAGGAGGAGGAGGAGGAGGAGGGAGGAGGAGGAGGACGAGGAGGACGAGGAGGAGGGGGAGGAAGAGGAAGAGGAGGAAGAGGAGGAGGAGGAGGAGGAGGAGGAAGAGGAGGAGGGCGAGGAGGAGGAGGAGGAGGAGGAGGAGGAGGAGCAGGAGGCGATTACGTAGCCATGCCCGTCACTGCTGCTGCATATCTGAGACTGCAACTCTGTGTGACTGTCGCTCTGGGCGATCGTTGAAGCCGAAAGCGCCAAAATGATTCCAATCAGTCACGGCTGCCTTGGCGGTCCCTTTTGCCCCTCTCCCCGGCTTTCCCCTCTCCTCTCCTTCCCTTCCCTTCTTCCTTTCCCCCTTCCTGCCCTTCCTCCCCTCCCTCCCTCTCCTCCCTCCCTCCCTCCCTCCGTCTGAGAGTGACGGTTGCCATGACTATTCAATTGACCACCCTTGAGGGGGCAGACACCGCCGCCCTACCGTGTTTGGATCGTGGAATTCGTGGGATGGGGGGGCCGAGACGGTGCCAGAGAGGGTACTGGGGTCCTCTTGAGGCTCTGTTGGGGCGTCTCGGGG